AAAAAAAAAAAAAGCAGCTAACGGAATTACCGAAGACCACATTTACGCTTCATTTCTTTCATCTTAATTTATGAAAAACTGGAAAAAAAAAAAAGCCCCAAATGTTACATTAGCGTTGCTACGGTAGCGTAGCATTAGCTGAGGAAACCCGACTTTAAATGCTGCCATCAGACTGACTTTATGCTTAAAAAGGTGGTTAAACCCAAATCTGCACATTATATGTCGAGAACATTAATTTGATGAGTTTACAGCTACTTCACACATAATAGCCTTTAGCTGTATTAGCTTTGGCTAATGCTTTTCACTTTGTAAGCTAAGCTAAGCTAACCAGCTATTCGGATATAGCTTCGTATCCTCGAACTCTCTGCAGGAAAGTGAGCGAGTCTACATCCGAAAGTGTCGACGCCTGGCGCGATGCTGAGGAGTGCAGCAACGCCTCGCCGCTATGACGTGCTGGTGAATAACCCGGGGTCCTCCAACGTTTGCAAATTCCTTTCAGGGATTGGTACGACTCGTCTAGTGCTATGTGCTGAGGAGAAACCAAACATACCAGGAGCTTTGAAGGGAAATAAAAAGCCTTTTAAGGTCATTTTAATGAACTCTGCTGCATCTGAAGGTTTACAGAACAGGAAGTGATCGTTTTACAGTGCAGAAACAACACTTCTATACAGGGTCACTTCTAACGGAGCATGAAACCGCTGCACAACTTTCAGATTAAAACCAACTTTGTTTTTCTCATTATGGCATTAAAAAAAAAAAATCTCATGAAAACCTCGTTAGTCTTTAGAAGTTGCAGGTTCAGAGGAGAGAATAAATAACTGGACCGATAAAAGTACCGTTTTAGTGTTTTTAAAGGAAAGAAGGGAGGAGTCTTGTCCTGTTTGAGAGGAAGTGAGGTCATGGCAGCTGAGACAGTCCACTCCTGTCGCTCATTTTCCTTTTCTGAGAAAGCGAAGCCTCTGATTGGTTCAGAGAGCGTCGGTAATAAAGCGCACATCAGGGAGGAGCCAGTCTGTCGATCGTGTTGTCGGGGCTTCTCTTCTGATTTACCCAGCATCGCTCCGCTGGAGGAAAGTGAGGAGGAGGAGGAGGTATGATGATGAGGCATGGCAAGGCCAGACGCCGGCCCTGATTGGGTTTTTAAGGGAGTGAGGTGTGTGATTGTGTGTGGTTGTGAAAGGAGGAGGAGCAGGAGGAGGTCGGGGTCTATGCGTAGATCTCTGTGGTGGGGGCCTTCTTGTAGATGGGCTTCTTCGACAGATCGTAGCTGCCCTCGTCCTTTTTCTTCATGCGATAGATGAGGAAGAGGATGAGGAGGACGGCGAGCACCAGGCTGACGGCGAGGGTCGCGGTCAGAGCTGGAAGAGAAAGTAAAGCGACAGATGAGACTTTTTAAGCTGTGACAGTGATTCCTACTCCTTCCACCCAGACAGGAGCCTCCTCCTGCTCCTCTGGGGAGGGAGCTCTGAAGCTCCTCGTCAGCCCTACACTTTAGAAATCACGTCATCTGACATCGTGTACGAGCGCTACCGTGCTCTTGTTCTTAGTTTAAGTTTATCACAGCTTAGGGAAATTTTCCTGCGTCTGATGTTAAAACTCGGGCAGCATTTCCATCTTTGGACATTTAAAAACTCAAAGTTAAGTTTTGGCTGCTTCAAAGATGTTTGTAAGAGCACGACTGACCTGCAAGGAACTCAGTCTTGCTCGTGATGCTCTCGTTGCCGGTATGGGACATGAGGACATTGGACAGGTTGTCTTCTCTGCGATCGTCGTTGCCCAGCACAGGGATCTCGTTCTTCTCAACGATATCTCTCTCGTTGACGGTTGGTCGCACCGGGCGCTCTGGCTCGGGGATCTTATTGTCAATAATGTCGAGCTGTAAATGAAGAGAAAAGAGTTGGTGAAGCCTCTGCTGCATGGTTGAGGGTTTAAGTATTTAAGGAGACTCCACGTGCAGACGCTTCTCACCTTCACTGTTGTCGTCTCGTCAGGTGATATGGGCGTGTCTGTGGAAAGAAGCAGATTCTTCATTTAATCTTACAGATTCTACGTAAACGTCAGAAATCGCTGCGCTGAGTGTTTCTCGTCAGGACCGACCTGCGTCACCAGATCCAGAGAAGTCGTTGTAGTCTTCATCGTCGTACGTGTAATTGTCAGCGTCGTCGTCTGTGAAGCCGAAGTCTGAGCCAATCGGGCCGTCTCCAGACGCCTCCAGATCACCGCCACGTGTCGACACGCCGGCCGTCTGCGAGCTCTTCATGGGCATCCATGTCTCCGTCTCCCTCACCTGCTGGGACATCAGACGGAGGCTCAGAGGGACTTTATCTCACTAACACTCCTTCGGTCTGATAGGCCGACATGCTTCCAGTTTCTCTGTAACTTTTTGGTCAAGCCTGCCCAATCAGGCCCCTTCAATCAGCCCAGTCGCCACGGTTACCATCCCTATCAAAGCTTAACATGGTGAGGGCACATCAACCACATTTAATCACATTACAAGAGTTTATTTCAGTGACCATTTGCCCGCTAAGCTGCAGGAATGGGATTAACACCCCCTCCCCAAATCCATCACCTCATAATTAACACACACACACACACACACACACACACACACACACACACACACACACACACACACCTGAATCAAAGTGAGACGGGACATGAGCCTGATGTGTTTTACAGCACCGAACGCGATGCAGACGAGGAGGAGCCCATGTGATGTTTGTGTCCGACAGGAAGCAGCCAATCGAGTTTCCAGGAAAAGAAGAGTGGTGATTATGTTGTCGGGAAAACTGGAACAAGCTTTTATTTTTCTGAGCTTTCCATTTAGCGAGAACAAAAGCAGACCACAAATCACACTGGAAAGCTTCCCGGATGTCCCACAAACATCCTCGTCCACGCTCTCACAGATCGAGTCGTGTACGTCACGAGGCTCTTAATTACTTCCATCCCAGTCTTCATTTAAGGGTTAACCCAGCCCGCCCGGGGCCTCCCTGTTTGTGTGTTCTCGGCCGCTCGGCGTGGTAACGACGTGTTTGAAGGTAATCCTCTCAGCCGCTGCCTTTAAAAAGCAGAGAAGAAAGAGGGGAGGGGATGCCCCATTGTGCCTGCACAGAGCTTTCAAACAAAGGCGGCCATTTTACCGCGACGCCTTAGCAACAAGGTGGGCTCGCGAGGACTCGCCGCTCCTGCTCCAATTTGTTTGGTTTCCTACACTTTCAGGCCTCCTTTGTGTGCGTTCCCTTGCACTTTACTCCACTTCTTCCCATCTGAGTCCCTCTTTCCTGGCTTTCCTTACAGAGCTGTATTTAAAAATCCAGGAGCAAACATCAAATTTGAAAGAGTTTGCGGCTCCTTAAAGGTGAACAACTTGTTGTTGTTTATGTTTTTATGCTTCGTGACAACAATCGTTGGGTTTGAGGGCAGCTGAACTAAACAGGACACTTAAATCATTTAAAAGTGCTTGAAAACATTCACAGTCTGTGTCCTTGAAGCAGAAACATCCAAACCGATAACAGCTGGAAACAGCTGCAGCTAAAGGTTTGTACTGCATCCATTTCCACACAAATTTGATCTTTTCTTCTCTCTTCATGTCTTTTCATGTCCGTCCTGAAAGCTGTGGCGGTAGAAGCCCGGCTGAGGATCGCTGCTCTATTATGTCCTCATTTAAAGCCCTTACATGTGCAGCAGGGAGCCGTGATCCTGTATGTGTGCATTCATGCCTGCCTGCCTGTCTTTGTCAGTAATCCCGAGCCGAAAAGTGGTGACTGCTGGCTCTTCATTTCCTCGCAACCATTCACAGTCCTGCTGCAACACGTCCTCTGAGTCACATTAGAGGAATTACGCTCATTCAAGCCTCCGTGTGGACCCGTATGAGTCAGGCTGATTCAATCAGGTAAACCAGCAGGACTCACAGCCCTTCATTTTGTTATATTTGACATCATTCCCCCCCGAGGCTCGTTTTACTTCGATTTGCGGTTACAGATGGTTTTAAAAGCCCAGAAAACCTGATTTCTCTGCTTCTTGCTACAAAAACACGTTTTCTTGCCTCACTCGAGGGATTTCAGTGATTTATTGGCGGGTTTTATGCGTTTAGTCACTGATATTTCTCCTGTCAAACTTAAGGAACGTTAATGACCCGAACCTTAGTCTGTGGAGTGGGTGTGGGCCTTTTTCTAAAAACAGGAACACTTTGCATTTTTCAAGTTCCACACAAACAAAAAAGTAAGAGTACGTTTTGTCCTTCCGTGTCCTGGGGTGTTGAAAACGCTCCCCTTCCCGGTTCCTCTGACCTTTAACCCCTGCGTGGTGTAACTTGGACGCTTGCGTCCCGGAGGGCTAAAAGAAAAGAAGCGTACGCCTCTCAGGCTGACTGAGGCCTGTCCCGGCAGGCCCGGCGTATTCGGGAGAACAGAAAAGATCAAAAGCTCGAGGCTCGCGTTACATAAGGCCTCCGATGTTACCGTCACATGTGCGACATATTCTACTTTTACTATAATTTCCCGGAGCTGGGACGGGGTTCAGGCCAAGTCCCAACAAAAACAACAACGGTGTTCCAAATCCAGGAAAAACAAACAGAGCCAAGGATGAGTGCCGGAAGCCTCAGTTTCTGTAAAAACTGTCCAACATCAGCCTGAAAACAGATCGGTAGGGAACACAGTGTATGTGTGTGTGTGTGTGTGTGTGTGTGTGTGTGTGTGTGTGTGTAAACATCTTCTAAACCAGCACGGACCGGCAAACAGAGGACAGAGGAGCGCCCGAGCTGAGGTTACGTAACAAATCGACATGAAAATCAGCGCTCACTCAGTCACAGCCACACAGCACATGTTACACTGTTAGCAGGCACGCACTCATTTACTGTGTGAGTAATAAGAAAGACCCCGTCTGTCCTCCAGAGGGAGGGTACATAACACACCTGAAGCACTTTATATACCTGTAACTTAGTCTATAAGAATAGTCACAGTCTATTAGTTATATTTGAATCTGTATCAGAACAAAGTTTATTTCCTGTTCTTACTAATTTTCGGTTATTGTAGCCATTTTAAGGTTTGCTTTATTTATTTGAACTTTTTCCTTTCTGCTTGTTATTTTCATTTGAACTGCATTACTCTGCCAGTGTCTGTTTCAAGGATTTACAGTTTTAAAGGTCCTGCAATACCTTTGTGATTTTTTTCTCTTCAAACAAACTTTCCGTTTCTCCACTTCAGCTCGCGTTAAAACTTAATTGAAAGCAGCCTTTATCTGCTTGGAAACACTGCCACAAACAGCCTGAGTGGACAGATTATCATTGTTCCTTCACATCAAGCCGAATGTGTTCATTACAAACAGCCTGAATGAGCTTCAGCGACACAAAGTCCGGCTACGTGCTTTACAGCAGAGCTCGCTGCGGTTCGGGGGGAGGCCGCAAACGCCTGCAAACGGCCTGGAAAACTCGGTGAAAGCTGAAGAGTGGAAGTCCCGAGAGTTTACAGACAGAAGAATCACAACCAGCCATTTTACAGCCTGTTAACAGATCCCCATTTTGTCCTCCATCAGTGATTCACAGCCTGGCATGTTTTGGGCCTAATGTGCAACAGCTGATAAGCAGCCGGATATGGATGGCAGCCAAACCAACCAACCAAATGGATTCAGTGGAAAGAAATATGGGATAAGATTTCTGTTCAAGGCTCCGCTTCTCATTCCCACAGAACCAAACATGGACTCGTTTAAGAAGAAAACAACAAAAAGCCTCCTCTCTCGGCTTTAACGTTTTATAACTCATCCTATAAAAGCCTGACTCATCACAGCACTCACTCAGATAAAGCCAACACAGAGGTCAAAGGTCAGAGTCAATCCAGCAGCTGAACACAGCTGCCCTTTGTCTTATAAAAAAGCCCAAACTGCAGAGCTCCTTGTGCCACGTGGTTACAGTCTGAGGTTACCAACCATGTGACCCAGACAGTCCTCGCATGCAACAAAATCATCACGCGTGACAGAAAAGTCACATTAGTGATGCTGACATCTGTGAAACGACCACGTCCATTAGCCAGCTGATTAACTGCTGTGCTTTGTTGTCATGTGACCTTTTCTGTTACTGTAAGCACAACAAAAGCCATCGGCTTTCTTTGATTAGCCTTTGAAAAGAGACGCCATCGCCCCCTCCCCATAGACTCCATTCCTGCCCCATCAGACACGTCACACCTCCATCCCATCACACCCTTCTTTATCCTGCCCATTACAGCACGGAGGTCCTAAAACCAAAAACCCTCCAACTGCTCAGCTTCGCTAAAAGAAAAAAAAGGAAAAAAAAAAAAGCAGTCTGCCAGGAGTCCTACCAACCAGCTTTAGGGCCCGTCCCTTCTACTGACACCAAACAATGCCAGTGGACACCTCGAGAGCATATCAATGACCAAGGTAACTGGGCTAAGCCTCGAGCAGCCTCCCTTCATTAAACTCTGGAAACAATCCCTCCATCTGCCAGCATGGAGAGGGGCATCTGGTCCTTTCACACGGCCGACTGGAGGAGGTTCAACACGTGAAAAGACAGGAATGCGCTTCCTTATTCTTTGCCGTGTCCGGCATCTCACGAGCTTTGTCCAGAAAGGTCAGTTTTCAGAGGCCAAAGCAGTCCTCGTCTTCCTCAGTGTCTCCCATTTCTTCAGCCCCCCCCCCGTTGATACTTGAGCCAGCAGGATTTGCACCAGCATTGTGTCACTTCATCTGCTGGTAAGATGTACTCCCGACCCCTGACGTAACCGCCAAAGAAACCCAAAGGCCACGGGAGGAGTGAAAATCATTGCTTCATTGCTTCGTTAAAATCATAAAGCTGACCCATATCAGCTCAGCTGTTCCTTCAGGAGGCCTGAATGTGGTCATCCTCAAACACTAACCTACATTTTCCTCTCCGTACTGACAGCAGAGCTCCAGATTCCTCCTACCTACGCCGGATCTATCTATAGCGGAGTTCCCAGCACCAGAGCAGCCCCACTGAACTCCCTGGAAGTGGGTCTCCATCTATTCCAAGGAACTGGAAGAAGCCTTTTGTGCAAGTATTTCAGACTTTTCATCAGCACATCTAACCCTGTCTGCATGTCATGGGTGAAGCTCCTGAAAACAAAGACACCCGTTATCATCCGTGTCAGGCCCCTTCAGCCTGTGAGGCCAGAAGAGACCTGACAGCAGCCTCGCTGGTTTGGCCCGAGCTCCGAGTCGAGCGTCTGCGTGTGCTTAGAGTGCTTTGGCTTCACTGCGGATGAGGCAGGAATGTGGCGGCTGCATCGACGAGGTTTTGGCTTTTTGCCGAGCTGACCTATG